TAGCTAACATGAACAGAAGAAATGCAATACAAAAGCTGAGCTGAAGATAAGCATGATATTGAACTGTTCAAAGGGCTAGAAAACCAAAAGGAGGGTTGGTGGGAGATGACCAGCATTTCCTAAGGGGAAAGGATTGAAGAAAAAAATCAAGGCTTGAGTTTTAGTACTGTAGGATTCTATGGGCAAATTGCTGGACTCTGCAGGAAGCATCAAAAGAAAATGTAAGGAATACATAGAGTCACCATACCAAAAAGAATTGGTGAATAGCCAACTATTTCAGGAAGCAGTATATGATCAAGAACCAATGATACTGGAGGAAGAAGTCCAAGCTACACTGGTGAAAAACTGCTTTCCAGGAATTGTCAGAATGCCAATTAGGATGTTTTAGCAACATGCTTTGGCTAGAAGCACTCATTTTGCTATGCAGTGGTTCTCAACTTGTGGGTCACAACCCCTTTGGGGGGGGTCAAACAACTTTTTCACAGGGGTCACCTAAGACTATCAGAAAACATATATTTCCCATGGTCTTAGGAACTGAGACACTGCTCTTCTATCCATCTCCAGGTCAGTCTGCCCGCATGCAGATATGCCCATCTATGAGTCCCTGGGCATGAAGACTGTTAGCCATGCTATACCATGCTTCAAAATAAAATTTCATTTATTTGTCATTAGAAATAAATATTTCACAATATATAGTTACATATTGTTTTTGTGATTACTCACTATGCTTTAATTATGTTCAATTTGTAACAATGAAAATACATCCTGCACATTTGATATTTACATGACGATTCAAAACAGTAGCAAAATTCCAGTTATGAAGTAGCAACAAAAATAATTTTATGGTTGGGTGTCACCACAACATGAGGAACTGTACTAAAGGGTCGTGGCATTAGGAAGGTTGAGAACCACTGATCTAAGGCAATCAGACTCTATTGTCTGTCCCACCATAAGTAGGGCCCACTCCTTTCTGATAAGGATAATGAGGTGTCCCCTGGAGGAGGGCCCAAGGACACTTAAGGTCAAGCCAACTCAGACGACCAAGGTTAGGCTGCATCTTGATTCTAAAGTCTGCCCATATTGTTATGTATGTGCCTTCCTGTCACACGTGTAACCCCTTCCTGTTATATGTGGGTACCTGTAATTAGGGCGCTTGCACGCCCCCTGAGTGTATATAAGCCTTGGTTGAAAAAATATTCTCTTTCTCTGCACGGACCTGGCTCCTGAAGTCATGGCAGTCTCGGAGGTGAGCACTTGCATACTTTATCTTGTCTGATGTCT